CAGAACAGTAAGCGGGCTTACAGAATTAATCCTCAGAATCAAATGAATCAAATGACTGCTTATTGATTTAATAGATGAGGGGGTTATTTGATTTTGAAAATGTTATTTGTAATTGCTAATCATGTTTTTATCTATGCCCATTGGTATTTTTATAGTGCAAAATACATGAGGGGTAAGTCATCTTTAATAGATATAAAGAACTGCATCATCTACCACCTATACACCTAATCTCTCATTATGCGCAGCGCTGAAATTCCAAGTAATCCAGTATTTCCAATGGCACTCACAAATAGTACTGGTGAAAATGTGTACGTGCCATAGTAAGTGTAGTAGCCTAGTTATCTGGAGGAAAGCCTGGTTTAAAAACTACCAAAAGAAGTTGGAAATAAGTATCTATTCTCAGCCTGTAGACAGATGTTGATCTTCTCTGAAGATTCATGTATATCCATGGTGGAAGAGGACGGACACGGGAACGTGACCTTCCACCTGCCGTGGAGGCTGTCACCTCGGCAATGTTGTTCTTTCTGACTGAACAAATACCTGCTACTGTGCAAAACTAAAGTTACTGCGATACTCCTCAAAGCAGTTAGTTTAAGCCCTGTTCATTTTATCAAGCTTTCTGATACCCCTTAATAAATAAATTTCACAATAAGTAGGATTTTCAAAAGCATTTCAATTACATCTTGCCTAGACTTGTCTTTGTACAGGATCTGTTACGATGTTTTAAAGAAAGAGCAAATGAAAGAGATCTGTTCTTTAGTAGTTTAAGTTCTAGTCCTCCCTGTGAAATTCTGAATAAAATGTGTTCCCAAGGGGTTTACAGTAAAGGGGTTTATAGCAAAGCCCAAGGGTTTATGGGAAAACCCCTTGGGGAGACAGTTACTCGTAACTTCCTTTCCCAAACACAGAAATGCTAGCCAACAACATTAACATAATTCAGACTTTCACATGCTGGTGGATGTATTAGCTGATGGTATTTGAGCTGCTTTGAAATGCTGCCTGAGCCTACAGATGCTGCCTTTAAGCATCAACACCAGCTTTGTCAGGGGGCAATAATTCCACTGCTGCTGCATTCAGGAACAGTTATGTCTTGCTGTTAAGGCTGCTCCATCCTGTGCTGGTTGCCTGAGACTTTCTCATACAAAATACTTGAATCAAAGCCCTTGTCTCCCGCCTTCCTGGTATTTAAATAAAGCAGTCTTCCTCCACAATCTGCATCCTTCTGATGTAAAAAGAAAAAGCAATCATGTAACATTGGCTAATTCTTGTGGTTGGACTGCTTTTTCAAATATAATTTTCTACAGGAGACATGTGCAGAGCGTCATTTTTCACAAGGAAATGGCACAATCCAAGAGCGTAATCACACTGGTCATTTGCTCCATCTACCTGTCTCTTCATCTTTCTGTGAGTCCCCAACATTTAATGATATCAGTTTCCAATTATATGATCATATTGGTTTATGAATCCAAAGGTTGAATGAATTGTATGTACTGCAAATTGTATCTACTAAAAAACTTGTTCTGTTCTCTAATTTGGCAACCCTAAATGTGATTCAGAGTTTAAGTTCACAAGTCTTTAATAGTTTGTTTCTTATTTTGACAATCCTACCAAACTGTAAGATTGTTAGTCAACCAGTATTCGTACAGTTCAGCTGAACTCATCTGCAAACTACTTAAATTCATGTCCAATAAAGTGTAGCCTGTGGCAAAGCAGAATGTGCCTAATTTGTAGCCAGAATTTCCTCAAAGATTTATCAGCAGTCTATGTTGTAAATACATGCTGTATTTTCAGCAGAAAGCATTGTTATTTGTATAGTACTGGAAGCTCAAAGAACCACCTGCCCACACAAGCTATCAAGCAAAGGCCTAGGGAAAAGCTGACCTTGTAGCCAAGAAAGTGTTACTTGCCTTGAACTCAATTTAGTGATAGCATAGAGTAGATGTGGCAGTTCTGAAGACCACTGTTGGATTCCAAATTTTAGATATGAGAAAAGAAACTGCTAAACAGAAAACCTTGAGTCACAGAAGCTGGGGGAAAACCCTTTTTAGTAACTTCATCACTGCGGATTCTTCCTGCCTCCTCCAGCATGATGGAAGAGACTCCTGGCATGATGTTATCACATGCCCTGCCCAAGCCAGAGAGACCATACCCCAATTTGATCAACCTATACAGAAGACCTTTTGTGTTACCTGTCCCCCCGGTAAAATCCCCCAAGTTAAAGCAGGTTTTTCACATGAGGCAATTCCTAAGACCCCAAGATTTGTCAAACCTGTTTTTTCCCTTACCTCATCTCTGGAAAGTCCTCAATTGTAATAGAATGAATATGCAAGCCCCCTGTTGAATATGTAAACCATGAACTGCCATGGCCCGGGGTGGAAGTAGGAACACGACAGCATACAGGGGTTCAGACAAGGTGGAAGGTCTGGAGCTATCGCCTTTATTAAGGGACTGCACCGGCTTTTATAGGGTTCGGGGTGGAAGGCACTGGAACATGAGTGGAGCATGGGACAGACAAGGGAATGAACCAAGGAGGGAAGGTAGGAGGGAAAATGATGTTAGCACTAGCCAATCACAGGGCTTTGAGCACTGTGGCAAACTTTGGCCAATCAGAGCAAGGGACAAGAACAAACAAGTCTGAACATGTTGAAAATGACTATAACTGGGGTACAAGGTAATATATAACATGCATTAACAAAGTCTGTAGTCTGTAATAATAAAGTCTATTTCCAATGAGGATATAGGTAGCAAAACTCGAGGCCACTGATGTCCTTGGTGCTCTCTCAGTAACTTTCATACAGTTCACGCCATTTTCTGAATCTTTCCCATTCATCATCTTCAACAGTCACAATGAACCCTTTAAATACGAAGTCGTGAACCCCATAAAGGATTCCAGTTTTCTGCCTCCCCTGGGATCATGACAACTTATTGACCTCCACAGACCACAAAAAGGAGGAGGGAATGAAAATTAGGGTCAGTGGCAGATGGCCAATGTCCCTGATCAAACAGATGAAACAAGGTCTGCAGAGTACCCAAGAGCTCCTGGGCGTTCAGCCTCACAGGCTCAGGGCCAGATTTGAGAAAGGCTGCTGGTGGCCTTGAGAGAAAGACAACAGAAGTCAGCAAGGGCTATCCTGCTTCACAGGATGCTGCTTTTAAGCTGAAGCTCTTGCCCTCAGCTCCTGCGTGAGGTGTCCCAGCTACACCTGTGCCTGGCCAGGGACCATTTATCTGGACCACACTCCTGACACTGTGTATTGAGGTTGTCCCTGCATCCCAGTGGAGATATGCCTGATGATGGGGACTCCAGCGTATTGGAGGCCCCAGTTGAGGAAGTATGGAGAAATAAAAAATAACAGCCCTTTATTAAACGATACATGTGTATTGGCAGAACAACAAAAGAACACAAAACCAACCAAACAATAATCCTGTACCCAAAAGTCTCCTTCAAAAAGAAAACAGTTCAGTACTTTCTGCCTTTTAGAGCAGTTCTAACCATGATTGGCAGGTGGTGCTGTTGGATCACTGGAGGAGCAGAGCCTTCAGTTGCTCGGTGTTGGTCAGCAGGGAATGCTGTTGGGCTCTCTGGTGGTCACTGGGTGGGGCCCCAAAATGCGAGAGAAGCCGAAAATGGAGATCTCCTCCCCATAGAGAAGGGGAAAGGAAAAAAGGGGGAAGAGGGGGTTCTTCCCACGAAACTCACGCTGTCTGCGGCTGGCTGTGGCCAGGGTTTCCCCCCCTTTGTTGATGGGCACACGCCGCTGCCAAACATGGGAGTGGAGGAGGGAAAGGGCGACCTCCTCCCTAAAAGGTTCCTCCACAGGTGGGTCAAGCCTCTCCGGTGAAGTCAGAGCAGGTCTGAGCTGGGGGCAGCACAGGGCGCCGGAAAGCAGAGGCAAACCTGGGGCCAGAAAGCAGCCAGATGACCATGCCGAAAACAAAGTGAACCTCAGATCCCTCCAACACACACCCTCTCTCCATCAGGGCAAAAGTGGAGTGCCTCTCTGTTAATGTTTACCTTGGCTGAACGCCAGGTATTCACTGGTCCTGGGCCCAACCTCCCTTGGGAGGGAAAGGGGAGGAGGAAAGGGGGAGAAGAAGGGAAAAACTGTGAAAACCGTAACTGCCAAGAAAAACAGCTTTATATGTACACAGAGATAAAAAAAACCCATAAAACTATACTCACAGAGAAGAACTAACAACAAAGATTACTTCCTTACAACGAACACTCTTCTCCCCCCAAGAAGCAGCCCATCCACCACCATGCAGCTACCCTTACTTCTTTCCCGTCTTTTATATCTGAGCTGACGTAACACTGTATGGAATATCTTACTGGTAAAATATACACCAGGTGATCTATCCTAGTTCTGTTTCCCTCTCAGAGAGGGTAACAAACCCATTACACTCTCATTTCTGAGGAGAGAGAGAAAATCCCCCCTTTACAGCAATGCAGAGGAAAGAAAAGTCCCCTGCCTGTTTTTTTAGAACAAGTAAACCTATGACAGTAAGTCACTCCATCCCTGCTTTTCCTTTGAAGCAGTGTGGCAAGATGGAATTGCTACTCATCCTTATAGAGGAGTATCTATATCAAGCATCACGAGGGATTCCCCTGCCCTCTTCCTTTTAAAAACCAGCTGTCAAGTGGACTGAAAATCTTCCTTTAATTGTCTGGACAGTCTGCTAAACAGCAGCAGTCTGCTGCTGGTGCGCAACAAATGGAGTTGGATTTTTTTTGCAGCCTGTCTCAACAAATCCATGCTTGTTTTGCTTTAGGAGCCCAGCATTTTCCCTGCTACCAGCTTGTCTCTGCTTCAACTATCCACTTTCCTGTATTTTAATGCAACACCTTATGAATCTCTGTCCTTTTTCCTTCAAAATGCAGATAAAATTGCAACCTGATCCTTTAATTACCAAGTTGGAGCTGGGTAACGCTCTTCTGGTCATTCTATGACAATATCTCTAGGACTTCACAAATAATTTAGTAAATCAGACTCCACATTTCATCCAGCCAGGTTTATTTGGTTGTTCTTTTCTCTTCAGATCAATATATGTATAAATGAGTTTATGTATAAAGCAGTTTATTACAGTGATCTGCTACCCAGTGATGAAGACAATGTGTCTGCCACCACTGAAGTTTATTCTGGAGGTGCAGTCTACTAGTAGACTGTGTAGAAATTAGCATATTGAAGACAGAAACTCAGCTGAGATTTCCATTTACTGCCATCAGAGAAAACATCATATAAATAGCTGAAATGATGTCACTTTAAAAAGGTACACTAAACAATAGTTGAAAACATTGAAAAATAACTTGCAATATTATGAAATATGTTACTACACAATAGTGAAATATAAGGAAGCACAGGCACTGTTTTCAATAAAAGGAACTGGAAGTACCTTAGCTATATGGTTTCCAGATTTTATCATGTCAGGTTTACTTGCTTTGGCTCTAGCTACCTCTTCTGAACAAAACAAAAAAAACCCCAATCCACCAACCAACCAAAAAACCACAAAACCCACCCAAATCTGCATAATAGCACAACAAATTATATATAATATTAAAATAAAAACTATATATATATATATACACACACATGTATATATATATATGTATAGCTGTTGGGAACAAAAACTGTTGTTGTTCCCAGAGTGCCCTTCAGGACTTCAGAAAGCACTGGTATGTGGTCAGTGCAGTATCTTGTGTTCAGTTTGAAAACAAGGAATATTTTTTTCAAACTTTAAAACACACAGAAAACCACCTGGGGAAAAAGCACAATTTGTGAGCAAACGTTATGAAACCTTTGAAATCTTTGTGCTCCCTCTTGCATTTGGAAATATTGGTGCTATGCATGTACTGCAAATGTGTCGCCAGCTGTCAGAGACACCCGATACGCGGCATGCTGTGATCTACATACTTTGTATACGTGGCCTGAAATAGGGGTGAAGGAAAGCAGTAGAGAAACACAGTGACCCAAGGGATCAGGTTTTAAGCTTTTGGCTTAGGAGAATGTGTTTACACACCAAAATTAGACAATTTTATTCTGCAGAAGTCAGAAGAGTATGAATAGCTTGTGCTATCCCTGGTGCATGATTTAAAAGGTGCTCACCTTGTAATAGTTTATCCCCTCACAGCAGAATAAGCTGTAGCAGTTAGTCTGTCCATAAATGGTGTGTGTGAGGAATTGCACCATGTAGCTCTACTGGAAAAGAAATTGTAACCCTACCACCTCCCATTCTTCTCATGTTGGTATAGCTATGTGTTGATCAAGACTTAAGAGGAACAGCAATTTGCCAGGGCTGAGAGTGACCGTGCAGACAACAGAGAAAAGCAAAACAGTCATGGAAGAAAAACCTGAAAATATATCAAAAAGCATCACAATTGACTCAGGTCCTTATAGTTAATACATAAAACATGCCAATACTTTAAATGAAGGCAGATATTACTCAGTTGAGCAGCAGTCATGAAATCTTTTGCTAATTCAGGAAGTGCTTAAAACTGATCAGGGAATTGGAGTATGTGGTTTTTTTATGGTTTAGTGACTGAAAATGATGATACAAATGAAACCACTGAGCAAGAAAGTTCATTTCAGGTTAATGTACAAACACAGCTCGAAAAACTCAGGGCTCCATTATCTTATGAAAGTAATCACAGCATTCATCTCTACCTGATGCAGCATGCTTTTCTAGTTAAACAGCCTTACAGATGATGAGCATAGCTATAATTTTTCAATAATGGAGTCACTGTTCACAAATTTAAACACAATTGTAAAAAAATCAGTTCAGGAAATACATACTTTTCAAAACTTGTAAGAAGAGGAAAGTCATTAATTAGAAACATAGAATAGTCCGTCCTGCCATCAGAGATCAATGTTTGTCACTCAAGGTACGTCCTTGTCACACTTCTGTTCACTCAAGGGCACCTTTCATTAAGAGGGAGAAGAAACGACAGACAGGAAATCGCAATTTTCTCTTTTAAAAAAATTCTTTGTTCACTGCTAAACACATCTAGATGAAATATAGCGTGAAAAACTCTTCATTTTTACTGATCCAAACAGCATCATACAAAAACAGACAGACAGAAGGTAGGGGCAAGATCTGTCCTCACCTGCACAGCCCTCATTGCCCTATGCATGTTCCAGCTCACTGTGACAACATAACTGCAAAAAACTCTTTCCTCCACTGACTACGTTGTGGCCACATCAACTTCTAAACGCATTTAAAGCAGCCCATTTATATCAGTAGAAATGTTTGGTTGTCATGGAAGGGCATTTGATGCAAAGGTAACATCCACTCCTCCAAGCGCGCAGTCCCTGGCAGCCTCCCAGACAGGGGTGCAGAGCCACTCACGTGCAGAATGCTTGGTCCAAACAACAGCAGTGTCTCATGCACACAGGCACGATTTCAGGTCTCCCCTGTTGTCCTTGTCAGCCTAAACCATCTTTTTTTTTAAACCCCATCTTTTTCCATTCCAAGTGCCAAAAAAAAAAAAAAAAGGTAAGGACAGTGTTATTGTAACATGATGCTGAGGGCATGTGCTCTACACAATGAGGGCATGTAGGGGTTGAGATGATGTTGGGATAGCAGTGGAGGGCTGGGAAGAGAGAGAGAGCAAGGAGCCAAATCAAGTGCAGTCTCTACTGCCATCTGGAACAGCAACTGAGGTAGAGCCTCTAGACACATCCAAGTTTTCTCCTACCAGAGAACCAGCTGCTTTGATCCAAAAGACAAGCTGGGACTGAAGCAACATGTGTGCAGTGTGCACGACTGGGCACAGACACAGGAATGAAGCAGAAATCTAAGGCAGATGCACCCGACTGTAGACCCCCACAAATCCGCAGTGGGGGGACAAACTGGAAGACAGCAATGTAATGGAAACTGAACCTGGAAAAATTCAAACCAAAGCGAGAGAATCACAGTAAGGGCAGAATTAATTACTCATGGGAAATGATATATTCATTGTAACTGTAACTGGTTCAATATTATTGAGCTCCTTCTAAGAGTAACGCAGTGGAGTGATGGGCACAGGATAACAGTTTGTGACAGAACTAAGGTAAACACCTGCCACTGAAGCAGCCCTAAAAAACAATTATTTAATTACATAGGTTTGCATCTGTCTTCTATAAAATTTTATTAGCTTTATGTGACACTAAATAACTTAAGAATGCCTCCACATTTGAGAGAAATTCTAATCTATCACCATTCAAAAAAAGGACATTCTGTTTTTCTCTGAAAATCCCCTCTGCCAACATGCTAATCATATTATTGCTGATCCACGAGAGGTGAGGGGGTGGAGTAACTTAATACAATGAGAGAAACATGAACCAGTGAGTATAACACAAGGCACAGACATGCATTCTCATAAGCCTCATTTCACATTCAATATAACTGCTCTGTTTTACTGACAGTTTAAATCATAATGACAATGAAACTGAAGACTCCTACTGACAGTAATATAACTATCCAGCACTTTCTTCATTTCTTTGAGCAGCTTGAATACATTCAGAGTAATAAATAAAAATGTTTGTGGTTGGTGAGACAATGTAAGGTTGCAGATAATTATTTATTATTTTTTTTAAATAACATTTCTTTCCAACCTTCAAACAAGCTAATGTTCCAATCCACTTGGATGCATAGGGGAATCAGGTTCTAAAACATTCCCATAAGTGAGATTAAGGCCCAAACGAGCCCAGATGCTGGATCCCAAAATGACAACTTAACTTTATTTTGTAATACAAAGGAGCAGAGAGAAAGAAGGGACATACAAAAGTAAGAAAAGCTAAGGGTAACTGTTAAAAGCACAGGACAGGAGTTGCCACCACCATGAAGTGCCACTGGCTTGCAAGCTGGTAGATCTCCATTGGGCTTCTACCATGGTTGCCTTGTAGCCTCCAAGAAACAAGCTGAACTGGCAGGGTAACAGAGTGGCAGCAGCTCCTGCAGCAGTCCTCAAACACCCTCCGGAGTCACCGTGCACAGCCTTAAATACCCTCGCTGTGCTAGCCCCTGGATGTCCATTGGCCAGTTCACCAGTATCCAAGCAAAGTTCGCCTGGTACCGAGACGGGCCCTGAGCATCCATTGGCTGGTTCCCCAGTCTCCAAGTAAGATCTGCCTGGCTTACCTTATATGGGAGAGTAAGTCCTTGCCTTGTTCTTGATTGTAACAACTTTTTATCTTTTTTGCTTATCTACCTGCCTCTGATGGCTTGCTAGGTGCCTCCTGGAGTTTTGCAAGTAGCTCAGCTCCTGCAGCAGCCTAGCTGTGGCATCAAGGCTTTTTAGCTCCATGCTTGAGACAATGGCAAAGCAGACTCCATCTTTTAATCACTTTATTACAGCTTTCAATTAGGCTGGGTTACTAGAGGTCAGAAAAAATAAGAATTTTGTAAAATCTTTCAAATATTAAATCCTTTTCCAGAACAACTCAAATCCTGTGAGACCTCCTTGTATGTCTTCTAATGCTCGCTTGAGCAGTAATAGCCTTTTATCAAGTATGGAATGCAACGAGCTGTCCCCTATTGCCAAGATCTTCCTTTCCTACAGTACTGCAGGATCAAAGCACAAAGCTCAGAAAAGAAATATTTAAGTAGCAAACTAGTTCTTTGTCTAATTAAAATGCTTGAAGCCCACGTGTTAAACCCCAGTTTTCTACCATAATGACCTTTCTCTCCAGTAACATTCAATGATGAACACTTCTATGAATATGTAACTCCCAGCTTGTCTACACAAGGGCACTCATACACCCCTGCTTCTGTCCAAGCATCTGCACCAAGTACCATAGGGTTCAGCCAGCACATTTACTTCAAACCCCAAATCAACAACCCCATCCTTAAAGCTACTCCACCGTGTATTGTCAGGCCGCACATTCACAAAAACACTGTAGTCTCTTTTCCCTTCACCTGTCACCCAGGGGTCTGGCTACCACTCTTTGATGTCAGCTTTAATACAACCAGACTGCTTTGAAAAGTGTAGTATGAGAAAGAGCTGTAAGACATCTTATCAGGGGCCTCTGCACTTGGCTCAGGAGTTGCATTTGAGCTCAGGTCCCTGCTATCAGTCCTTCCCTGAGTTGCATTACAGATATGGCTGTGCCTGGCTATATCCTTTGCTGATCCTGTGATTGCTTTCTGATTTGAATTTGTGGCTTGGGCTCATACCTGTCTCATCATTACAGCCGCTTCTGTGTAATTTTGTACTTTGTCATTCAACAAGCAGTGGAATCAGTGAATCCTGGTCTATTATGGATTCACATACACTACAATTACTCTCCTCCACCCCTTACATCCTTCACTCAAAAAACAGCAGGGCTGCTCTCATTGTGTCTACAAGAGCTCACTTATACTAAAAGCCTGAACTCCCAACCCACATTACCTCTGCATCTCCGCCATACCTCCAAATCTCTGACAATGTGAACATTAGTTTTCTGAGTTTCTTACTCTGCTGAAAGGAGTAAATGGAAAGTCATGACCAAAGCAGATGGACCTGTGATAGAGGCTACTTCTGGCCATTTACTGAAGAAATCCATTAATACAACAACAATGGCAAATGAGTAACAAAGTCTATAGTGCTGATTGTCAGCTTTTCAAATAAAAAGCTAGTCTGGCATCAGCCTGTACCAAATCATGCTTGTTTTGTCAAGCAAGAGAAACTTTTGGAGCAGCTTGAGCATCCAACCCTGACTACTGATGGAGAACTTATAATCACTGTTATGACAACTCGCTGATGTGCACCACGAGCAAAGTGTATTGATTTTGTCTCTAATTCCTCCAGAATAATACATTTATGAGTTATTCTCCTTTATTGCAGAGAAAGTTCAGTCCAGCTCAAAGTATAGCAGAGATAAATTAAATTTGTTATTATTATTAGTCTATTTTGCTGTCAGTATGCCATGTAATTTCTGCTCAACACCACAGACTAAACAAGTAGCTTTATATTATTCTTCTGAAACAGCAGCAAAAACTTACCCAATTTGTTCAACTGCTTCCATAGTAGAAGACAGTATTTAGAGTATTTAGGAAAGAAAAAAATGACCAATACAAGCAGTCAAACATTACATTTTCATCTCCTGATTTGTTTTCTATGACACATAAAAAGAAAATCACACTACTTCACACTTCTCTGAGTCTTTTCAGTGTTGACTGTACAGTAACAGGCAAAGGAACGTGATCCAGCAGAAGCTGAGTTTATGGCCAAAAGACAGGGTGTCGCTAAGCTGATATACGGTAGTATGTCCTGTAAATGTTCTTCTTGTTTCACAATTCATCAGCTAACACTGGACTTCAGGCTGTTTATTAAAAACACTAATCATTAGTTCATTTAAAAGCATTAGATTCAGTTTCAAATATATGGCATATGTTTGAGAAACAAACATGACCCACTGAGTATCATTTGAGGGCTGTGAGTGCTCTGTTAATTTGAAAAACACACTGTAAATCAAGATTTAAAAACATCTTTGCACCATGAACACTTGCATTAATCCTGTGTATAGACAGAGTTGGCTTGCAATCATTACAACTCTATTTAGCCTTTCTAGATCTAACCAAAGAAAACATTTTCTTTCTTTCTTGTCAAAACAGTGAAGTATCCACTCAGGAGATATGATTTATTTGATAGAAATGTTCAGAGCAGATATTTAAGTTCTCACAATGGCTCATTCCTACAGAGACTGACAGCTGACTGAGTTTATTTATTGCCTGGTTATCACACAAAGTCAAATTCTAACAGTGACTAATGCTTTGCACAGCTGTAACTGCTCCCTGAACTACCTCATGTAATCGATTAAACTTGAATCAATGTTATGGGAGTGTTTTACAATGTGGAAGCATTTTTGCTTGTTCAATGCAGCCAACTCCCCTGTAGGAGTATGCACATCAGGAACTCCAGCAGTATGAGTCAAAAATCATATTTACATGCAGTGCAGCACAGGATTTGTTTCCTCAGGTGGTTTATGAGATACAGTCTTGATTAAGTGACCATCTTCTAAAGCATTGATTTGAACACTACAGAGACTCCAGTGCACATAGCCAACATTAAATGTATCAGCTTACAGCCACCTTCTGAATGCAGCAGAAACAATAACAGCATCGCTCACTCCCAGCATGCTGTACTCGGGATTTCCAGCAACATCAAAACACTACTCCGGCTGTTCATGCAGTCTTTATTAAAGTGTCCAAGCAGCTCGGAGTGTGCAAGCGAGCCCTTCTCCAGGCCACACAGGGCAGGCTGCATGGGCTTCCACAGCCTCGCTGAACTGGGAGTTTGACGACCTCTGGCTGTTTTCAGTGTCCACAGCCAAGGTCTTCTTTTTTCTCTCAAGCTATCTGAAGGGCACCCTCTTCTGTCCAGCACCCAAACTGCAGCATCACAGTAATTTTCACAGATGTTTCTTGAT